AAATATACATACATACATATATACATACATACATAAAGGTAAATAAAATAATTCTAAAAAAAAATACCCCCAATCATTAGATGCAAACTACTGCAGGAAGGAATAGAATCTTTGGCCAAAATGGTTCTGTTCAGCTGAGGCAATTCCCAAAAAGTTCTGACAGCTGAGGGCTGTCTGCCAGAAGTACTCCTAACAGCTAGGAAAATAAGACCTTCAGTTATGAAGGGAGGTCTGGATGATGACTCACAGCATCCACTACGGTTTTATTTATTCTGTCATTTAACACATATATTGACCACTCACTGTGTGCCAGATTTCCAGGCACCAAGGGTGCAAAGTTGGGCAAGAGATGATACCTATCCTGGAGGAACTCACAGTCCAGAAAAAGGATTGAATGTCTTTTCTTCCTTATTTTCTCAGTCACTACTATCTCTATGCCACTGTCCAACTCATCTCCAGTTGTTCATTGTCACTCTGCCTCAATGCAGTCGACTCTTAACCATTTCTCACAGCTCCTTTTGTGATAATAATACATTAGTGTGGAATAGGGGAAGGGAAGTTTCAATCCTATTGCAACTGTAGGAAAGCTTCCATGTTGTTCAGTCATGCCTTCCCCATCTAATCCTTGGTCCTCACTCCGCTTTGGTTTTTCAGTATATACAAGGGAGAAATTAGAAAGGTACCCCCTCCTAATTCTTTAGTTATACCCCAGTTCCTTGACTATTTTTACAACAGCACTCAGAGAAGCTCCAGTTTCTTGCCTCCCTCTCCCATGTCACCTCTACTTCTTTCCTTGTCCTAAAGGATGCTATAAAAAACTACTGGAATTTGTAGTCTGGGTGGGATGGCTGCAGAAGAGCAGGCAATGTTTTAGTTCCATATCCTGTTAGATGAGAATAGAATTATGACTGGTGTAAAGTCTCTATCTTGTAGCTACTGGGATTTTAGTAGGGAGTGATGTTTTTCAAGGATGTTCCCAAGCTGGAATGTATCTAGTATGTATTTCAGCAAATTCTTAGTTGTAAATGTTGATGGTTATATGATACAAATTAGGTATATATTTTTGGTTATATTTGAACAAGCTGGCTTAGAAATCTTAAAACTTGTTTTGATGGGAAAATATGGTACTATTTCCAAACATTTGATTTAGAGAAAACAAACTTGGAGAATATATGCTTTCTAAGACTTGCCTGTTCAGGATTTATTTAGTTTGGCTTCTTTTCTCTTAAGCAAGGCTTTAACTTAATTTTTTCCAGGTAGAGCTGAAAAAAATCCAACATAAAGATGTTTTAAAAAGTCATTTTTACACAGCTATGACACAATAACTGTCTTGATGGTAGATCTTACTATATGAGTTTGAAGCTCTTGGATCATTAGGTGAGTGAGTGGTTGTTTAAAAGCAAGCATGTATTGAGTGGCTAAATTGGCCAGCCTTTTCCACTTAATGGACAAGTGGCTCACTACAGATGAAAACAAAACAGTCTTATCATCGCTAACTATTTTCACTGCTTTTATGCCCTCCAATATTTCGATCTCTACCATAAAGTACGGATAGTCAGTATATATTAAATGGATACATCCAATATCTTTCTTTCGTATCCTGACTTGCTTCACTCAGTACTAGATCTTCCATAATTGACCACTTTCTATCAAATGCCAGAATCGTTTTTTTTTTTTTTTTTAATGGCCGAGTAGTATTCCATAGAGTATATGTGCCACACTTTTTCAATCCATTCATCAGTTTGTGGACATTTGGGTTGGTTCTATGTCTTAGTGATCATGAATAATGCTGCAATAAACATTGATGGGCAAGCACTTTTCCAGCTGAGCATTCTCCTGTCCTTTGGGTAGATACTCAGAAGTGGGATTGCTGGATCAAATGGTAGATCTATTTATAGATCTTTGAGGAACCTCCATATTGTTCTTCACAGTGGCTGAACCAGTTTACATTCCCACCAACAGTGTAGGAGAGTTCCCTTTTTACCATATCCCCGCCCACACTTACCACTTTTTATATATATATTTTTGAGAGGTTTTTGCTATAGGGTGCGTGCACATGCCAGAGAGACAGAGAGATAGAAAGTGAGTAATCACTCCCCAGGGAGGATGGCCACACCACAATTCCTTCTCCTCCATTCTCTTCTTGGGATCTTGGACACGCACGCACACACGCCTGGTGTGAGTTTAAGCCACTGGGTCCAGGACTCGAATGGTGGTCGGCTACATGGGAGTTCAGCAACATAGCCATTACACTAACTGCTGGTCCCTCACTTTTTATGTTTTCAATCTTTGCCATTCTGACAGGGGTGAGGTGGTATCTCATTGTGGTTTAATCTGCATCTCCCTTATAATGAGAGATGTTGAATATTTCGTCATATGCTTTTTGGCTGTTCATATATCTTTCTCAGAGAGATTTTTGTTCAGCTCATTTTCCCATCTTTTAATTGGATTACTCATTCTTTTTTTCACATAAGGCGCTTGAGTTCCCTGTGTATTCTGTTTATCAGTCCTTTGTCTGAGGCATATTTTACAAAAATATTCTCCCATTCTGAGGGTTGTCAATTCACACTTGTTACTATGTCCTTTGCTGTGCACAATCTTCTTAGTCTGATATAGTCCCACTTGTCTATTTTAGAGATTATTGCCTGTGCTTTGGGAGTCTTAGTCTTTGCCTACTCCAGTGTCTCCCAGAGTTTTCCCAGTATCTTCCACCAGTAGTCTTATAGTTTGAGGTCTTAGGTTCAGATCTTTGATCCATTTTGAGTTGACTTTTGTTAATAGTGAAAGAGAGGGGTTCCGTTTCATCTTTCTGTAGGTGGATACCCAGTTTTTCCAGCACCATTTACTAAAGAAGTTTTTCTTTTTCAATGGACTGGTATCTTTTGTCAAAAATCAGTTGGCTGTAAGCTTTGGGATTATTTCTACGGTCTCTATTCTATTCCATTGGTCCACATGTCAATTTTTGTGTCAATGCTGGTTTGACATCGGTCCAATGCTGTTTTGATGTCACAGCTTTATAGTATATCTTGGGATCAGGGAGTGATATGCCTCCTACTCCAATCTTCTTGTGCAGGATAACTTTGGCAATACGAGGTCTTTTATGATTCCAGACAAATTCTATGATTGTCTTTTCTAGATCTGTAAAGAATATGTCTGGTATTTTGATTGGAATTGCATCAAATATGTAGATTAATTTGGGCAGAATTGCCATTTTGATTATGTTAATTCTTCAAATCCAGGAACATAGGCTGTCCTTCCACTTTTTTCTGTCTCTTTCAATATCTTTTTTAAGATTTTTCATAGTTTTCTTTATAAAGATCTTGACTTCCTTAGGTTTATCCCTAGGTATCTTATACATTTTGTGGCTATGGTGAAAGAGATTCCTTTCTTCAGCTCTATTTTATTCAACTTGTTGTTCATTTATAGAAATGCTATAGATTTTTGGATGTTGATTTTGTATCCTGCCACTTTACTGTATTCACTTATTAGTTCGAGAAGTTTTTTCATGTAGACCTTTGGGTCTTTATTCTGAACTTTAGTACCTTTTGCTACCTTGAGAAAATGAGAGTTTTCAAAATCTTTCAAGTCCAGATACTTTTTTTGTTTAACAGTTCTTGTTTTAGTGTATCTCTCAAATTTTACTGTATATGTAACTAGAAAATAAATTTATATAAACAGGCAGCACCTACACTTTGACTTTATTTAGCTATTGACAAATCATTCAGTTTATTAGGCACATTTCCTACTTGGCATGTTACCGAAGGTGATAGTGTTGCTAACTTTCTGCTATTTAATGAGATCTTAATTCCTCAGTTTTCAAAACTACCTTTCTCATTCCTTTTGGACCCTTATGGGCAGCATAAGTAAAGGCCAGATTTCTACTAACAGTCCATTCAGGGACATTTAGGCTTTCTCTAACATACACTTCAAAATCCTTCTAACCTCTGCCCACTGTCGAGTTCCAAAGCTAATCCCACATTTTTAGGTATTTATTATGATAGCAACCCATATCACAGACCTGCATCTGTACCAGTTACCCATTTCTCTATAACAAATCACCCCAAAAACATAGCAACTGAAAACAACAAACATGTGTTGTCTTTAGTTTGGATGGGTCAAGAATCTGAGTGTGGCTTAACTGGGTTCTATACCTCGAGAGTGCTCAGAAGGCTCTAATCAAAGTATCAGCCAGAGCTGTGGGTTCATTTGAACATTCAACCAGGAAAGAATCTGCTTCCCAGCTCACTCATGTAGTTGTTGGCAGGATCCAGTTCAAATCCCGTTGGCTGGAAACCTCTTTCAGTTCCTTGATAAATGGGCCTTTTTCATAGGGCAGTTGACAACATGGTAGCTGGCTTCCATAAGAGCAAGAAGTAGCCAGAATCTTTTTGTAGCTAATCTTGGCAGTGGCATCCTTTCACTTTTCCTCCTATTCTCTTTGTTAAAAGCAAGTCACTAATATCCAGCCTACACATGAGGGGAGGAGATTATACAAAGTCATGAATATTTGGAGGCAAGGATCATTGGAAGCCATTTTAAAGCTCTCTGACCTTTCACCACTATTTGCATGTGATGGTGAACCTATATTTACTGGGTTTGAAAGTTGGACGAGAGTGTATAGAACACACCAATGAAATATTTACTTAACACATTCAACAGGATCTTTATACCCTTGTAACTTACTGAGATTTGAAAAATAATTTTATGAGCTTCTGCACACAAACTAAGTTTTTATTCCTACACAAATGTAGCCCTTGTTTATACATTCACATGAACACGATGTAATATTGGATTTTCAGAAAGATTTTTGCAGTCAAGCATGTCTGACTGTTGAATGAACAAATCAAGTGCCATTTGTGCTTTTTTTTTTTACAGATATTCATACTTGAAGTTTTAAATTCTATTAGAAGAGGTAATATACTTACTTACATTTTCAGTGGAGTGTATATGAATTCTTGGCTCCTAGAGTACTTACCTATACAAACACACATATGATGAAAAATCTTGTTATTTTTGGTATTAGAGGAAAGGGGCTGGAAAGAATGGTTGCAATATCCTATGTGTGTCTTAGACACTATGTTTTCATCAAAAGATAGAAGCTTTGAAGTTTGTTGTTGTTGTTGTGGTTAGTTATGCCTCTATGTATTCATTATTTCTACCCCAAATCACTTTAACTCTTGGCCCACAAAGTACTTTAATCTATAGACAGGGCAACTGGCCTGAAAAATAAAATAATTACTTTTTTCATATAATTTATTGTTACTTGGATCAAAACTTGGTTTTGTATTGTCTGATAAATACTTTGGTGTTTAGGTTGAAAATGGATAGTAAGTACATTTGAGTGATTTTTCTCATTTATAGGTTTTAGAAATAATCATTATTTTTCTTCTTTGTTTGCCAGGAAGCATGGTGATTTGTTTCATAGTTATGCTATAAAAGCTAAATGTTGGAAAGTAGAGGAAGAAGATTTACATAGATGCCTAAAGCTCATTGTTTCAAAACTGACTAAAATCTCTTGCTTTATGATATTGAGAAAAACTACTAACAACAGTGTTATTGAATAATATTGATGATATTCACTCATATATTAGGGTTCCATATAATACAATTCCTTTCCAGGTTATACCTAATATATAAAATGATCTTTTCTTTTTCTCTTTTACAGGTAATATAACATTACAAAGCAAGATGGGTAACATCATAGTAGGTATGTACTAAGCAGCTAATCGGTCAGTTTCACCCACTGTTAAAAACAGTTTTACTTTTAATACTTTTTTTTTTTTTTTTAATTTTTGCTATGGAGATTGTGCGCTTGCCATAGAGACAGAGAGCAAAAGTGAGAAATCAACTCTCCAGGAGGGATGACCTCCTGCCATAATCTCTTCTCCTCCATTCTCCTCTTTAAGCATGTATGCACACACGCCCAGCGTGATTTTTCAAGCTGTATGGTTTGGACTCAACCACAATGTTGGCATTGTGACATTCAGCATCTTAACCATCATGCCACCTATTGGCCCCTCATAATACTTTTTAAAATGTAAATAAACTCTGGGTTTATTTACATTTAAAAATATAGTTTCAACTATAACAGGGTTTTAGTAGTAGGGTAATATGTAGTGTATATTTTAAAAGGATAATGTAATTCTTACTTCATAATATATCAAAGTAGTACAAGCAGGGCTCTAGAAGGCTTAATTTGTTTATCTTCTGTTGATGGACATCTGGGCTGTTTTCTAATTTTTGGCAAGCAATTGTAATAAAGCTGCTATGAATATTCTTATGCAAGTTATTTTATGAATATGTTTTTCCCCACTCTTGGTTAAAAAACTAGGAATGGGATTGCTGGGTTGAGTTGATTTAATTTTATGATAAATTATCAGACCTTTTCCTACAAGTATATTTTACATTGCTATTAACACAGCGTGAAGTGATTAGTTGCTTTATTCTAGTTGCTCCACATCTTTATCAACATTTATTATTGTCTCTCCTTAAGATTTTTCTCATTCTGCTGTGTATATAGTGGTATATCTTCAGTATTACTGTACATTTCCCTAATGACTTATAATGACTTTTTTACATATGTTGAGTTTGTCAGATTTAAAAAAAATTTTCTTCTCAGTCTGTGGCTTGCCTGTTCATTTACTTTTCTTTTTCTTTCTTTTTTTAGAGAGAGAGATATTTGCTACAGGGCGTGTGCACTTGCCGGAGAGACAGAGAGACAGAAAGTGAGAAATCACCTCCTGGGGAGATGGCCATTCTGCAATCCTCTCTCCCCCATTCTTCTTTTTGGGATTTGGGTCACGTACACACGAGTTCAATGATGTAATCATTATGCCAGCGACTGGTCCCTCCTGTTCATTTTCTAATGGTTTATTTTGAGGAGAAGATTTTAATTTTGATAAGGCCCAGTTTACCAATTATTTTCATAGCATCTAAGAAATTTTTGTCTCCCTTGAGTTGTGAAGATATCCTCTCATGTTTTCTTCTAGCAGCTTTAAAATTTTTGCTTTTTCCTTTGATCCATTTTTAATTTTTGTGTTTAATGTCAGATAGGTGTCAAGGTTTATTTTTTTCCAGGGCCAGCAGGTGGCGTGGTGGTTAGGGGCGCTGGACTCCCCACATGGTCGACCATGGTTCAAGTCCCAGATCTGGCGATTTGAATTCTCACTTTCCCTCTCTCTCCTTCTCTGGTCAAATAAAATAAATAAATAAATAAATAAATAAAATAATTATTTTTAAAAAAGGTTTATTTTTTTTCCTGTATAGATGTCTAGTTGTTATATCTTCATTTGTTGGAAACAAAACAAAACAAAACAAAACAAAACAAAAACCTTCCTTTTTCCATTGGATTACTTCAGTATCTTTGTATAAAATCAAGCAACTATAAAAGTATGGATCTATTTCTTATTTATCACTCCTGTTTTATTATTTATTCTTAGGCCAGTACCACAATGTCTTTATTACTATAGTTTTAGTTAAGTCTCTAAATCACACAGTTGGAGTCTTCCAAATTTGTTCTTTTTAAGTATTGCTTTAGATGTTTCAGTTCCTTTGATTTTCCAGGCAATTTCTATCAAAAAAAAATCCAGTTGCGGGACCAGCAGTTAGTATAATGGCTATGTCGCTGGACTCCCATGTAGTCAACCGCAGTTCGAGTCCCAGACCCAATGGCTTAAATTCACGTCAGGCACATGTGCATGCGTGCCCATGATCCCAAGAGGAGAATGGAGGAGAAGGGATTGCGGCGTGGCCATCCCCCCTGGGGGGTGATTTCTCACTTTCTGTCTCTCTGTCTTTGTCTGTCTGGTGAGCGCACGTGCCCTGTAGCAAATAATCTCTCAAAAAAAAAAAAAAATCCAGTTGCACTTATATTTGAGATTATGTTAAATCACTAAGTCCATATATTACTTGGGAAAGAACTGACTCTTGGAAGCATTGAGCTTTTCAATTTAAGAACACACATTATAATTTTCCATTTATTTAGATCTCCTTTAATTCCTCTCAGCTACCTTAACCACCAGGCCACAGATTAGCCTTCACATACCTTTTAGCTATTTGTGTATCTTCTTCAGAAATATATCTATTCAGGTCTTTCATCCCATTTTTAATTAAATTATTGGGTGGTCAGAAAAGTCATGATGCATTTTTGCATAGAAATGTGGGAAAATATGTTATGACCTTTCTAATGACCCAATTTTTGTGGAGTATTTTGTTTATCTGTTTGCTTGCTTTTGAATTTTATGAATTCTTTCTGTATTCTGGATATTAACATCTTATTCGATAGATATATGACTCATAAGTTATCTTCTCTCCTATAAATTGCACTTTTATTTTGTTGTTTCCTTTGCTGTGCTGAAGATTTTTAGTCTGATATACTCTTATTTATTTATTTGTTTTGCTGTTGTTGCTTGGGCTTTAGATGTTATATTCCAAAAAATCATTGTCAAGACCAACATCAAGGAGCTTTTTTCCCCTATGTTCTCTTTAAGTTTAATAGTTTTAGATCTTACATTTTAATCTTAATTTATTTCAAATTAATTTTTTTGTGTGTTATAAGGTAGTAATCTAAGTTTTTTTGTTTTTTGTTTGATTGTTTATTTGTTTTTTTTCATGTAAACTTCTAGGTTTCTACAAACCATTTATTGAAAAGATAATCCTTTCCTCATTATATGTTCTTGGTACTATTTTTGAAAATTCATTGACTGTGCATGCATGGACTTATTTCTGGGCTCTTGATTCTGTTCTATTGGTCTGTGCATCTATTAATACAGTACCATACTGTTTTGATTATTATAAACCAAATCCCCCAGATAGCTGTACTGTATACTTTGCTGGTTTATTTGTTATGGGAGAAGAAGAGGAAGAAGAAACCACTTAACACTGACTATACAACATCGTTCTCTACTTCCTTATCTCTGATGGACTGTTCTCCCTTGAACTTGAAATAATTGGTTGATTGAAAATTGATGACATTGGGAAATTTGAGTTGTCAAACTAGGACTACCTTAATTATGATTTGCTCATCCTGGCTTTAAGATAACTGTGCAATCCCATAAACTTGAAAGGAATACTGGATATAAACAAACTTCACCCACTCTTCCAATGGTTGGTTCCTCCTCCCCACTTTCTTTCCATCTAAGAAAGAGAAGAAAACATTATACAGAATAATCTTTTATTATTAGGAGTACTTTTTGATACTAGCATGTTCGCTAAGAGGAGAAATTATGAAATTAATTATTTTAATTTTCTTTCACTGTTACTGCTTATATGTGACTGTACATGAGATAGAATTCTTTGGTAAATATTAAAAGTTTAGACATTTGTCAATATTATAATCAATGATGCTTCATGATCTTTGCTGTAAAAGATCCATTGCTTGTATACTATCCTTCCCACCCACTAGAGTTTAGAGTAAATGTTTAGAGATAAGTTATTCAGGTTATTATAGATATAGAAGTTTTTTAAAATTAGATGTCAAGGTGTAAATTTTTAGATTTCTGATACTGTTCACATAATGTAAATGACTGCATTATTTTAAGGAAAATATAAAACCTTTTAAGATTCTTAACTTCTTATCCTCATGCTAAAGAAGGACCTTTTATTATTTCAGGTTTATAATTCTATTTACTCAAGTAAGATTATTATAGTTATGGTTTTCCTTTCTCCCAGATTCGTCCTCTGGATGTCTAAAAGCCTCAACTCATCAGGGTGCCATAGATGTTTATGTCAGCCAACTGGGGAAAGTGGAATTGAAATCCCATAAAGGTTAGCCAACTGGAATGTTTTATTTTGACATATGGTGTAAGGAAACTTTTACAGAATACTTAGGAAACAGATGGTCAAATTATCTATGCTGACATAGCTTCATATTCAAGAAAGTATCTTCTGATACAACCTGATTTAAAGACTGGTTTACTAGCTCTTTAGACCAGTGATCTGTACAACCTTTGGGTAGATGTTCATGAAGATTTTCTTTTTGTAGCACAAACAAAAATGTTGTAATAGTTAGACTGTGTTATTGACAAAAAAAATTTTTTTTTGAGAGGTTTTTGCTATAGGATGCATGCGCTTGCCAGAAAGACAGAGAGACAGAGAGCTTGAAAGCAAGAAATCCCTCCCAAGGGAGGATGGCCATACCACAATCCCTTCTCCTCCATTCTCCTCTCAGGATCTTGGGCATGCACGCACATGCACCAAGCATGAGTTTAAGCCACTGGGTCCAGGACTTGAACCACAGTCAACTACATGGGAGTCCAGTGACATAGCCATTATGCTAACTGCTGGTCCCATTATTCTCAAATTTTTTAATGTTATTGTGTGAGTTTTTCAGTTTAGTTTTAGGTCTAAAATAAAATATTTCATGCATGAAATATGTTCCAATACATTCTTTTAGAAGCTTTCCTATCAGCCTGTAAGAGGATTTTCTCAGGCTATCACTGCAGGGTAACAGTTTTCAAAGTTTGATCCTGAAATAAAGATATCACCAGGAAGGTCCTCTAAAGTGATTATTCTCTTTAAGTTTCAATATCTATGATGTGTCTCTCTCTATTATTTAATTTCTAATACAAGTAAACTTATTCCAAGAGTTCAAGTCTTTTACTAAAAATCATATAAGTTTTAGCAGTTAGCGTAATGGCTATGTCGCTGGACTCCCACGTAGTCGACCGCGGTTTGCTTCCCGGACCCGGTGGCTTAAAACTCACGCTGGGTGCGTGTGCGTGCATGCCCAAGAACCTGAGAGGAGAATGGAGAAGGGATTGTGGTGTGACCATCCCCCCTGGGGAGTGATTTCTCGCTTTCTGTCTCTATGTCTCTGTCTGTCTGGCAAGCGCACGTGCCCTATAGCGAAAATCTCTCAAAAAAAAATATATATATAGGTTTTATTCATCTTAAAGCTAAATGAATTTGCATATGCCTGTGTGCACATGCATGCAGATGTGCATGGTGACAGGCAGCTCAAGTGGAATAGCTTGCCCATAAGGCTGAAGTGGCTTGGGTGTAGAAAATTAAGAACTGTAGCAACTGTATAAAAAATTTAAAAAAAACAAACAAAAGTCTGTAAGTGCTTCCATATTGGCCAGAATAGGGCTGTATGTATAACAAGGAAAGAATTTCTTTACAGAAATTTCTTTACTATTCCTGCTATTAGTAATTTCTTTGCCCTGTTATATTACTAGTTGTTTACCTAATTAGGCTCTCTTGTCAAAGCGTCAAAATTACAGAGCATAGAAATCTGAAATTAAAGTCCTTGTTGACAGGTGTCAAGATCCCATTTTTTAGTCTTTAAAATGGGATAATGTTGTGTTCTCACTAAATTTCTAAAAACTTCAAAATTACTATTCATGGGAAAGTTGTAAATCCTATATAAGTCATATATAGATGTTCCTCAATTTATGATGGATGGGGTTATGTTCCTCTACACCCACTGTACGTCGAAAATATTATATATCAAAGTTGCATTTAATCCCCTAATCTATCAAACTATATTTTAGCTCCCAATTTAAATGTAGTCAGAACACTTATATCAGAAGCATCTAATGAAGCCTATTTAATAATAAATATTGAATATTACATAATATTTATTAAATACTGTACTGAAAGGGAAAAACAGAGTGGTTGTATTACTTTCACACCATAATAAAGTTGAAAAATTGTAAGTTAAACCATCATAAATTAGGGAGTATTAGTAATCACATTCTTTTCATGATGACTCAGAAAAAACATAAATCATTAATATAACTAGTGACAGAATGTAAACTAAGTTTTGGATAGGCAACTCTTACATAAAAGTCCCTATTTTGTGTGGTGAACAGAAAAGTAAAACAAAACACTTTTAAACTTTTGAAGATTGTTCATCTTCATCCAAATAATTTGAGGATTATTTGGAATGTTGTTCCAGCAACCTATTGAATAGCACACACACAATGTTGCAAAATTTGACTAGAATTATGATTCTGTGTTCTCCTACTAGGATCATGTTACTGCCAGAAGCTTAAAGGTAACTAGAACCAAAAATTTCTGTTTTACTTTACATCTCTTCTCACTACACTTAGGAACAGTAACTTTTTAGGATAATGGAAAGTTACTCAGAACTCTGTGGCTTAATGTTATGTTAATAATGACTTCTGGAATCCATTCCAAGTCTTCCACTATCTTAATGTAGGGTTAAGAGCCAACCACTTGAATCTTTGATATTTTTACAATTTTGCCACGTGGGGAGGGGAGAGGTTAACAATACTTGTTTTCTCTCTTATGAAAAGTAATATTATTTTGCTCGGAAAGGCTGTGCTTAGGCTTTGGAGACATACCCACATCTGAACAGTGACTTTTCCACTTAACATTTTGTACTTGGGTCAATCACTGATCTCAATATGGTATGCCTTCAATATGTTATGTATTAGCTCACTTTTGAATTTTTAAGAGGATAGTATTTTTGTCAATTACTTATGTCAGTGACCATGAAGAAGTTTACGAAGTATAAAGAAGTTGAAGACATAAGAGCTTTCTTTTCTGAAAAAGAGTGTAAAAGATGGAACATTAGGAAAGTTTTCAAGTCATGAGAATTCTTCATTCACATGGGTAGAGTGTTGGTAGTGTTATTTTTATTTATTAAACTTGTGGAGGGAGATGGAAATAGAACTATTTGTACTGCTTAACTTTTTAAAGATCTCAAATTTAAGATCATGTTATTAAGAGCAGGAAAAAAGTATTCATAAAATGATCAAATTTGGTACAAACTCCTGGCAAAAAGTTTTAAAAATCTATTATCATGTACTTTTGAAATTATGTTTGGTAGAAAGAAATGTTTCTTCTGTTCATCCTGACATTATCCAGGGTTGTTTTGTTTTGTTTTGCTTTTTCCTACAGTTTTGTGCCATCGTGTCTGCTGTTATAGGGAATCTCTTGTCAGTAGTGTACATTTGAACTCTGAAAAGAAATTTGTTTTTTAATAAAACGAACTAGTTGAAGTGACGTACTTTATTCTCACTTTTTTTGACATGCTTTCTTCCCCACTTTTTTTGATGAGTAACGTGAACATTTATCAGTCTTATGCCAAACTTTAGCTCCAGTTAGGAAGACTGAAAAGACACAAAATTATTTAAGGAAACATAAGCTGATATTAACCGGACTAGAATGAAAACCATGATCCATAAATAAATGCATTCTAGAAGGGATCTTTTAACATTTATCATGGATGTCATACTGACTGTCTTGGTCAACAGAGCTGAGGTTAATGCTTTATGGCAAGTTTCTCTTACTTTGATGAGAAACAGAGAAAAAAACTTCTGAATTATGAATCTCTAGTGAATTTGCACGGTAACCAAATTAACTGTTTTGCAAAATAAATAATTCTATAGCTAACAGTACTTTTTCTGACCTACTCCTTTAGAATCTCCAATTTACCCATCAAGTTTGTGTAGGAAATAAAGTTGAGTTTCTGAGTATTCAGAAACCTGTAATCCACTCAACTGACTCTTTAGTCCATTGGAATTCAAATAATCTCATTTTTATTCTCTTTATTTGTTCTCATATATGAGGCATAACTGAAAACATGGGAGCTTAGTGTTCTACTTGTGTTATAATGACCTGAGAGATCACAAGTTTTGTAGTACAGTGGGGTAGCAGTGTGTGAAATACCTTAGTGGTAAAAAGCATGGACATTGTAATCCTTGAACTGGATGGAGATTCCAACATAAGCTCTGGTGGGAACTTCAATAAATGCTCAGCTGTAAAACTGGGATTATAGTAATACTTCATAAAGTTGGCATGGGAATTAGAAGACATAATGTAATTAGGAGTCTGGTTCCTAGTAAATAATTAATGGCAAGTTCTATCTATAAGAGACATGTTTAATACTCACTATTCTAATATTTGATGAGCTGTGTAGGGTTATTGGCAAAAGAAGAACTAGCAGTTCATAAAGTCATAATGATCTGTATTCTGGACTAAAATTACTGTAAATGCCTTGAGAGTAAGGAAACTTTAATGAGCTGGGAGTAAAAAAGACATTGTTGTTTTGTTTTTTAAAGAATTATTTTATTTAACTTTATTTATTTTAACTTGACTGAAAGGAACAGAGTAAGAGACAGAGAAAGTGACAGAGAGGCAAAGTAGGAAAGCAAGTCACCAGGTCCAGGATTCGAACCATAGTTAGCCATGTGGGAGTCCAGCACCCCTAACCACCATGCCACCTGCTGGCCCCAACACTGTTGTTTAATTACATATGCTGAGGGGTAAAAATTATACTAGGTCCAGTGCTACTCTTTCAGTCAAATTTATAATACACTCTGGTGCTTCGGATGTCTTTCCACTACTAAGCTCTCCTTTCAATTTACTACAGGCTCTGTTATTGTCAAAGTCCCGTCTTCTCTTCAAGCTCACTTACAGCTATCAGGGAAAGAAGTTGATGTGAACTCAGAAATCCATGTTCGTGAAATGGCTGAAGTTCATAAAGATGATATTATAACAATTACTGGTAAGGAAACTCATTTTGCTAAGACACATGAATAGTCATTATTCATACATAATTAGGAATGTAGTATACTTAATTTCAGATTTTTCTTTTCATTCTTTTCCACTGTCACATTCTAGTTCGACTTTTTCCTTCAGTTGGTTATCAATATGATGTAGTCATTCTGTTTGAAAAGACCTCATTCAGATCATTTATGAATACTCAGTAGCCCTGTCATTGGATAAAATTGTTTTAAAGAATTTTCTGAAACAGCTTCTTTGTAATTCTTTTTTTTTTTTTAATTCTTTTTTTTGGGAGAGGTTTTCGCTATAGGGCGCGTGTGCTCACCAGACAGACAGAGAGAGACATAGAGACAGAAAGCAAGAAATCACCCCCCAGGGGGTTTGGTCACGCCGCAACACTTCTCCTCCATTCTCCCCTCGGGATCTTGGGCACACACGCACACGCGCCTGGCGTGAGTTCTAAGCCACTGGGTCCGGGACGTGAACCGCGGTCGACTATGTGGGAGTCCAGCGACATAGCCATTACGCTAACTGCTGGTTCCCCTTCTTTGTAATTCTTGAGCTTAAAAATCAACTGAATACATATATTATACAAAACTTGAAACTTTGTGTGATTAAATAGAGATTTACTTTGATATGCACATTGAAGTACAGCAAATTCTCATTCCCACAAACTTGAGTAGCTTTTGCACATGTTTCATTACATCCGGCTGTACCAATGGCTAATACTGTTTTAAAAATGTTTATTGTTTTAGAGAGTGTGTGGGAAGGGATCAGGGAAAAAAAACAACACATTTAATAGACACAAAAAAGAAGTTATCTGCTGATGATAATGTATATAGTAATGTCTTTAACTTTACTAATATACACTCTTTATGCTGGGAAAAAACATGTTGTACACTGTACAGATATAATTAAATGTAAATTTTAAAAAAGTGTGCTCTCTTAATCTGTAATTACTCCAGAAAAAAACAAGAGCATAGTTTTCGAACAGATAATGCATACAATTACATTGTAAGTATATTAAAATCTTTGAATTACAAAAAGAAATGTTTATTGTTTTAATAGATAAAATTAATGCTGGTAAAGTTTTTCTTTAAATCCTAATAATACGGCATCAAGAACACTGAAATGAAACTGTATACATGGATGTACATCATAGGTTAAACTCATGAGACATGACTAGACAAAGGAAGCGTGTGTTGAGGGGTGGGGAATGTATTTTTAAGATCAGGCTTCATTTCAAAATATTCATTTCATGAAACCATGAAAGTTAAGAAAGCAGGGGCAGCCAGTGGCATAATGGTTAAGGCAGCTGGATCCCACATGGTTGGCTGTGCAGTTCATGTCCTGGACCCAGTGACTTAAAAAAACACACTGAGCATGTGTGCATGCATGCCCAAAATCCTGAAGGGAGGGAGAAGTGAGGACAAGGGATTATGGCATGACCATCCTCCATAGGCGTGCTTTCTATGTTTCTATATCTTCCTTGCTCTCTCTCTCTTGCAAGTACATGTGCCCTCTGGCAAATTAAAAAAAAAAAAAAGTTAAGAAAACAATCTTTTAAAAATTAGAATATTAACGAAAAGCATAACAGAAATAAAAAAATAATACCTGTATACTCCTAGATCTGACTCAATCCCTAATTTAGTTCTTTCTTAGGCATTATTTATTATGTCTGGTCCCTACTTCTTGATAGGAAGGGCCAAACTATAGAACGAAGCTTCTATTTCCTGCTCACAGTTCAAAAGCCTAGGTACCAATCAACAGAATCCTTTTATGGAGTAGCACAGATACACTATGTGGTTAGGTGCCAGCTGAATCTGTATGTTGTCTCTGATATTAGATTAGATTTATTGGAGTAATAATGTGTGTGGGGGGGAACTCAATGAAGACAGCAGCAGTCTCTTCCTCGAAAAGAGTTGTGGGTAATAACAGATGTTGGGTTCAAGAGAAACTTTCATATCTTATTTTGATTCTGAAACTATTTGGTGCCCAGAAGGCCATAGGCCTTACGTATCAAGTGGATGAAATAATTCAAGGGCTTAGAAAATTTGGGCAGATTGTTTTTTTTCTGTGGATATTTCCAATCTGAAGCACAATTTTGGAAATAATGAGCAGCTTTATATGTGAGTTGTTATTATAGGCAGCTGAGCTCAGCTCATCTGGGCCTTTCCCCTAAAGCCCATGAGACATAGAGACAGAAATACCCTCATTGCTAAGAGGTCTGGACTTTATCTGTAGCATGGCTTCCTCTGGATAATTTCTGTAATAACCTATGCCAGTAAAATTTAGTCTCTGAGGTTTAGGCTTCCCTCAGGGTTTTGATGTGTCACCCCTGTAATTTTATTTGATTTCCTGTTCCATGGTTTTCCTTGCTGTTGCTGTCACTGATAAATAACCCTCTCAGTTGTCTAATTCTTACAGTGATTTACAAGTATTACATGCTATTCCAAGGTGAAAAGAAAGCCTGGGGCCTTCAGGCTGAAACGTTTTCTTTCTAAAAAGATATTCATAGAGTTTGGGGTACATTTTCTAATTTTATGACAGCTTTGATTCTAATTTTTATGTCTACCCATATATGCCAAGTTTAACAGACTGTGCATGGCTTGAGGTTAAGATATTTCTGAAAAGAAGTTGACTTCTTTATTAGGTTTTAGTCTTGGTTTATCAATTTATATTGCTGTCTGACTGTGGCATATCAAGCCAGTCTCTGAGCCCACAAATGCATATGGTACAAAGTTGTTTGGTCTTAAAATTTGACAATTTAGATTTTTAAAGAGTGTTAGAGGTAAATGTGTTGCCAGTCAAAGGATTACAGTTTGTCACTGTCTGCATAGTAGGGAAGCCAGCACTATTAAGAGTCAGTTCCTCTTAGTCATAATGGACATATAAAGTATAAAAAAGAACCAGCCCATGGCATGGTAGTGAAGGTGGCTGGATCCCACATATTCAGCCATGCACTTTGGGTCCTAGACCTGGTGGCTTGAGAAACATGCTGGGCGTGTGTTGTGTGCTTGCCCCAAATCCTGAAAGGATGGAGAAGTGATTGTGGCAGAAGAGTTCTCAGCTGGTCTTTAGGCCAGACAGTTATACATATAACAACACTGTGATTCATAATTGAAAGCAAACTGATTCATGGAGTAGAAAAGGGGTTGAAATGAGACTAAGCCCATGGATGCCTCTTTTAAAACTTAAGAGTGCTTTCTCTTCAAATGGAAAAAAAATCCAGACTTTTGGATATGACCCTTAGAAAGAACTCCTTTTTTTTTTTTTTTTTTAACTTTAGAATACATTGAAGTTTTAGTTTGCTCTAAGCCTATAGCACAAGAATCAAGAATTTGTCAGTCATGTAGATAAGCTTCAGGGCTTCCTGGAAGAAATTCATTAACAGAATGAAGAGTGCTGTAAGAATCATGCTGTCTGCTTAAAAACACTTTGACAGGGAGTTAATGCAGAAATTGTCTTCAGATCATTTGTGCTTTTATAGTATTTTTGTTTCCTTATCTTTTTGTAAAAATGTAAGTTCCTGGGAATACAATGGGTAATCAGATATGAACTTCATTTATGCACATGTGCCCTGTAGCAAAAAAATCTCTAAAAAAAAAAAAAAACAAGAAAAAGATCAGATCTTGTTTGTATTCATCTGCAAATTTTATCTGTAAAAACCAGATAGTAGGGACCAGCATGTGACATAGTGCTTAAGTTGCTGGATTCCCACATGGCCAACCATGGTTTGAGTTCCGAACCCAAGTAGCTTGAAAATCATGCTGGATGCATGTGGGTGCATGCCCAAAATACCAAGAAGAGAATGAAAGAAAGGGATTGTGGCATGGCCATCCTCACTTGGAGGTGACTTCTCACTTTCCCTCTCTCCTTCTCTGTTTGTCTATGGTGAGCACTTGGGCCCTATGACAAAAAAAAAAAAAATCTTACTAAAAAAAGGAAGAAAAGAAAAAAACAGTAAATGTGTTAGACTACATAAGGTCTGTTGTGTGTTCTTGTTTGTGATCTTGTTTTCTTCATAGTTCTTTAAAAGAGTCATTTTTAGCTTTCAGGACATAAAAAAAACAGCACAGGCTAGAGTTTTCTGACCCCTACATTAGCGATCAAATGCAAGCATCATTCTTTTTTTTTTTTTTGGAGAGATTTTTCACTGTAGGGTGCGTGCGCTCGCGAGAGAGACATAGAGACAGAAAGCGAGAAATCACCCCCCAGGGGGGGGGGG